TTCAAAATAATCGGTTTTTGGTACGTGCGAGTTTGCACCAGATTTCAAGAGCAGGGTCTGTTTCCCATACCGAGGTGATGTCTTATCTGCAGTGGGCTGGGGTTTTTCACGTTGCAGGGAGGAGTAGGATTAGTAATAGGGGTTTGAAAGCTTCAAAGATGAAATCATCGTAAGACAAAATATTTCTTCAGACTTTTATATTCTGAAATAAAAAAAAATAAAAAAATAATATCATGACTGCATAGATATCAAAACAAGAACAAATATTGGTCGGCTTCCAAGATATAACGAAAATTTGACAGGTTTTGATACGTGATTGTAGAAATTTTAAGCCTGGCAAAAGATGGAGAGGAGAAACTTGATCCTTCATATCAGGACAATATGAGTTCATCACATCAAAAACACACAATTTGGAAGTTGTCATTTTTATTCATCTCTGTTGGAAGTTCCTAAAATGAAATCTTTTCTGCAGATGTCTTCAAAAATTTTTTATAATTTTTACCTCCTGTTTTTGGCGGATGATAAATGAAAGATTATTTTATCTGAAACATTCATAAATGATTCCCTAATAATCTCCGAGCAGTGATATGCTTTTTCGAATGGCAGAAGATCATGTTTCGGACATCCTGGCAGACCCATGTTTTCAATGTACATGTACCTGCAGCTGTTTACATACATACTCAGGAGTAGGGGACTGAGCAAGGGTTTCACTCCTCTCAAAGGTTATGTTCATCAAATTATTTATCCTGCTACTTGCCTCCGTAGTATTTTTGGTACATACTATTTACGTGGCCGACTATTATTGATCTCTCTGAACCTGGTATGTATCTGTTCCATTAAACCCACTTCCCTTTCATTAACTCATTCACCCCTGAAATTCCATAATGAACTATTCCAACCTTTGAATTGGAAGAGCTCAAATGTGTCTTCAGGGATGAATGAGTTAACCTATCAGTTCTGAGTAGAGTTACCTTTACCTGAATCTTTCAAATTACGGAAAGTAAAATTTACCCATAATGCTTTGTAATCAATTCCAATAGGACTTTTCTTCATGGTGTTGTATCATGATATTGTTCTAAAGCATTTTTAGACTAAAAAAAATCCTGAATACAAATGTATACTTTGGTATCTGCAAAAGTTGTCTGAAAGATTATAAATGGTTTTAATTATTGGATTAATTATCAAAGGGCGACATTAGGCTGTAATATTAACAAAGTTGTGATTACAAAATCCTAATTTTTATAGTTTTCTTCATAACATGCACTTAATTACAGACATATGGGTTTTTATTTCAATGAGCCTTTTGAAGTATATATTATATAAAATCTATGATGTGGATACTTTTTGTAGCTATGTACCCAAGTAAAAGTTCACAACCATGTCAAGTTTACGAACACATTTTCTTTAAATAGCAAAGCTTCCTGAAGCCGGTAAGATTCTTCTCCGATATTTGTAGTAATCGTTTATATATAAGGTAATTAATTCCAACTAACTATTCCAACGAGCTGCTATGGAATTTATGTACGTAGGAAGGAGAATTTCTGATAAACAGGAACACGTGTACGGACCATTTCATCAGACAGATGGTGTTTGTAGTTCGGCTTCATCAAGTAGAAAACACATGTATATGATCCAACAGGTTAACAGGTATCCATGATCGATTATTTTTCGAAGTGAATTCGGTAAATGAATTGGTATTTCATATTTGTATGAAGATGGACCATATAGAAAATGTTACAGTACTCTATGACCCAGTGTCTTAGACAGACAACTTACATCAAGACGCAGATTCCCAATCAAAGCCTATATTCAGCATTGCATAATTTTTCAAATCAATTTCAATTTTTGTGACAGTTAAAAAGCCTCATTTATAAATTGACTGTTCTGGTCTTGTTTCGGTCATTTTCATTTTGTTGTTTACTTGATTTTGATCATTTAAAATTGTATTGTTATATTTCTGTTATACTCAAAGCAGAAAAGATAAAGTATATTTCTGTCATTATTTTAATAAGACACTGTCCTATATAGATTTTAGTAGTTCTTTTTTTAAGTATTTTTCACTGCTGTATTGTAGTACAAAGTTTCCGACGCTTAGGTACAAATGTAGGTTAATTTTCTGTCTAAGTTTAGCCTACAGGTAATGGGGATTTCCTGTCCAGAAGTGATTCAGACATATTGGGTTTCCCTCGCTTCAGGAGGACGGGTTTACCAGAGTACCTAATCTGAATCAAAGATGTAAATTTAATCCCGAAAAGATATTTCACCAGTGGAAGATTGACTGTTGGTCAGTGCATTTAGAAAAAAAGGGGAGATAATCGCTAGAACAATTTGTTACTTCAGAGTCTTAAAAATGCTGTTTAGTCAAATATATGATACAACACATTCACAAGGAACATGCATTCTTATAAGGAAGTGATTTGTGTATCCAACTGATGAATGACATTTAACTCATTCACCCCTGAAATTTCATAATGAACTATTCCAACCTTTGAATAGGAAGGGTTCATATGTGTCTTCAGGGGTGAATGAGTTTAAGCATCAACATACCTGTTGTTTCACCTGCATTTTTGCAGGTTTACCTGAACACGACCTCAATAACCTGTACAGATCATAGTGTGTTTGAAATCTTCTGCATTTGAAAGCTTATCCCTACTTTGAGTTAAAAATCAGCTTTTCTCAGCTTTAAATGTAAAGTTAATCCTCAGAAAAGATAAACTGGTATATTTTAAGGCATATTCGGGTAGTTTCAGAGCCTTTCTACTGATTTTGATAATATTGAAAATTTGACATACTGAAATGATCGGCGGTTAGTAGACTTGATCTGCATTTTGACCAAATTTGACCTTGATCATCAAACCAGACTTGGTATATATTTAACCACTGTAGACCATAATGGACTCATCCTTATCAATGCATGGTAGAGTCTACTAAAGTTACATAGGGGTGAAAGGGTTAAGCCATTTTGCCTAAATGTCTTGCTAATTTCTTAAGTCTTTTGACCCCTAGCAGTAGATGTAAACATGATTATAGAAATATAGTCGTCTACTGAATTTTACTGATCATTCAAATTATTCTTGATTATCCCTCTCTGGTTCTAAAGGTGATTTGCTAACAATTGGTTTCGTGGATGGTATTTTTTTTTATTACATTATAAAAAGGCTTTTCAAAGAAAGATCCGGAGTTCATTACGTTTCATGACAATTTCGAACTTTGTAAAAGGACCTGGATTGCTTGTGACTCAGAATACACATGATTTAATGTGCAGGTGGGTACTTGTATGGGCTATATTCAAGGCAGTGTACCTGAAGCAATACACTTGAGAACAATACGGCAGAGAAAATGAATCCCTAGTTGATTAGGGTCAATTTGTCGGGGACGTAGGACTGTATACAATCCAACCATGAGTAGAGAAAAGCCAATCTTCGTACCCTAGAATCCAATAGTATAGGAGGCCAAACAAGACATGAGTAATTAGCCCGTTTATGATCGGGGATGATTCATTTCCCAAAAGTCACGGGGAGGCTTGACTTAATTGTCATGGAACTTAACGAGAATATTAGATGTCAAATTTTAATGAATGTTTGTTTTATGTCGGGCAGGTTGTGGAGACATTGTTATAGCCACTCGATCCATAGAACATTTGATACAATATACAGGGTCCTTAAGTGGGAAACGGTTGAACCGTTATGTTGACTGAATTTACGACATGTTCTGAAAAATAGGACTTGTATGTTTTAATAGTAATTTAGGTGATGGACTTGAAGAAAACTGTCAGATCAAAACAAATATATAGAATTTTAACCCTTTCACCACTGTAGACCATAATGAACTCATCCATATCAATGCATGGTAGAGTCTACTAAAGTAACATAGGGGTGAAAGGGTTAACTGTGTTATAAGGAATTGCTGAAATAGAGATGTACAGCTTTGAATAATGCTTCAAGCATCTTTGAAATGATACAGATGTCTAAAAAATTAATTTTTTGGCTGCTCTGTAAAGAGTTGTGGCGACCCTGAAGTGAGAAGTGACACCAGGGTTTTGTCAAAGTTGAACCCCGGTTACGTCGGTGTTGGTTTCACTGATGGCTACTGACACATCCTGTAGCCTCTAACCCCAGAGTATACCCTCTAACAAAAGTATGGTGCCTGATATACATTTATAGATATACAACCACCGTTTTTTCCCCCTACCAATGTCCCAGTGGAGACTGAATGTATTTGTTCAGCTATTATACAAAAGCCATTCTAATGGTCCAAGGTATCGTCATGGCTACAGACACATTTGGCCATCTCGTCCGTAGGTATGTTTTAATGATTTGGTTGTTGGTACGTACCCCCAGGGGACAATAGTAAGGGTCTGTATGTATAGATAACAATACAGTGTGATACTTACCATTACCTACATATGTGATATCGAACTGTTCCACTTACTTGTGCAATAAATAAAAAAATGTTTGACCATTGTCCAAGTTGTGTGTCTGAGTGCCCTATATGTTTGTAATCTACACGTCGAACCCTTTGTGAGAGATTAACTGTGTTTGTTATGTTTTGATGAAACACATCATTTGATGTTAATCATGTTTGTAATGTATGGGTGAAATCCTTTATGTTATATTAATCGTGTTTGTAATCCAACAGATTTCTCGTTTTTTGCAACATTTATCGTAATAACTTGCAGCACTGAGGACTTGATGGCCAGCATTTTTATTAATAGCATAAATATGATTCAGAGTTAAATATTTCCCGCCTGTATTGATCCAATTTTGCTTTCAACCCTATCTACTGTTTGTTGTTTTTACCTGTTCATTTACACCTGTAATTGTTTACCTTCCATTACTAATATTGATTCTGTATAGTGGCCTGTTTGAACCCCAGCTACTGTCTCATCTAATTTGCTTACAGGTATAATTGTGTTGTGAATAATGACGATTGTTTGCTAATTAATATTACCTTTGTGTTAACTAATGTGGTTTCTGTTAATATTTTCTGCTGCTCTGTAGGTCAAACGCGTAAGTACCCTGTGTTGTCACCCTGTATTGCTTATATCTCATTCATGTGCATGCGTAAACATATTGACCAATCACTGTTGGTTTTACAAAGCCATTGACCAATCATTTCGGGTGTTACAAATTTGCCAATTGGTGAAGGTACAGCAAATAAATGATTGGCCAATCACTGCAGGTTTTATAAAACCATTGATGTTCATTGACCAATTACTGGCAAGTTTACAAAATAAGAATAAAGAAACATAGACCAATCCATAAGGATTTAACAAAATCATGTATTTATTCGTGAATAACTTGCATCTGCAAATGTCATTTTAGGACTCTTTTTGATTTCTCCGCATAACACAGACTCGGAAAACATCAGAAACTACTTTTGTCTTTTTTTAAACCACAAAAATACATTGTGCAAAATGAGGAAATAAAAAGATATATAAACTTTTAAACAAGAAAGTTGTAAACTTACTGTTTTGAGAAATCATACAGAAACTTGTATTGATGATGAAATTTAAAACAAATCGTCATTTTGAGGAAAAGGGGAAAAAAAGAAAATTTAAACTGAAACCATGGCTGGATAAAGCTTGTAATTATACCTATGTATGCATGCTGGGATACACTTGCATTTTTATTATCATAGTACATATAGACTTTCTCTTGTTCTTTTGTGAATAATTCCACTTCAATTTGAGATCAAACCACCAAATTATCAATTCAAAATATTTCATCTTTTTTTCCCAATCTAGAATCTATCCTGGAACAAATTTAGGTTTCCACGTTTTGATTTATTGACCAACATTATCATTAATTTTCACTGGATGGTGTGGAAAATGAGATTTCACTGTGCTCTTCGGTGGCAAATATTTTCAGAAAACATAGGAAGAAAAACAAATTGAAAGATAGATATGCATTGGTTTTCACGTCGCTGATGTGGACAATGAAAGTTTCTTGCAGATTGCATGCATAGCTGTGGAACTTGGCCAGATGTGTCTTTTATGTTGTGTTAGTGACGATGGATGAATTTTCAAGGATCCGTATTGTCAGCTGATCATAAATTAGGCATAATTTAATGTCAGGCTTAATTGAAATTCACCTCGATGGAATAAAACTGTCGTTAACTGCATCCCCGCGGCACTATTACAAGGAAATAATGGTTAAAAAATACACATTCTCATAGATCAGTTTTGGAAATAGGTTGTTTTCGAAAGATATACCAAATTTGAATTTGACATAGGAAATTTATTCAGATTTCACAAGGACTAGCTAGCTATAGCCTTGAGGGGTAGGTCTGATGTCAGATATATGTACATATATAATTGTATATTATTGTATGTGTTTAAATCTATCTCATATTTAACTTGGTGAAGGAAACGTTCAGTTTTAATTATTGGTTTATCCTTTGAGATGTTTAATTTAACGATTGTGGTAAGTTGTTTAACGTTGTATAGGTGAATGTTGGTTTTAGTTGGCTTGTTGGAAGAAAGCGAAAATACAGGCATATTTTCTCTCGATACGACAACCATATCAATGTAGGATAAAGCTAGATTTTCTCCAGGCATAAGTACTTCACAACCGTGCAGAATTTATCCAAATGGTTTTGGACTAGGTGTGGTAATGGGGGGTGTAGAAATTTGCTTTTGGCCGATTCTGATTGGAGGTACACGTGTTTCGTTAATTATCCCAGCGTGATTTGTTTACACACAAAATTACTGTACCTGAATAACATTGTGGGTTACACTATTAATGGACAGGTACAGAGTTACATGTATACGTGTACATACTTACCATGACCTTATGACCTCTGAGCTATCGGCAGAATGGTAGAGATGTTATTATAACTGCTATAAGCTCATTATATATTAATTGCAATTAATTCCACCAGGGTTTACGGAAATATTGACGGAGCTGTACGACCAGGACTGGTGGTATGGGTATATGGTGGTATATATGGGTGTAGAATAGTACACTACAGGCTGGTCTGTTTGATCACTTAGCAGCCAAGTTTATTTGTATGGGCTATCCAGAAGAGGTTTCAACATGGCTCCTACATAACTGCATAGCAAAATATCGACTTGCCTTGTCTATTAACGTGTACCTACATACCACAGAAATATTTCATCCATTTTTTTTTCTTCCACATTTACGATTCGTGATTCCATTTGATGTCTGATGATTATATTTCATATAATGACAAAAGCATCCACATTTTCCAGCTTTTTTTTATTTTTTTTTGCTTGAAACACTAAAAACGTGGTCGTTATAAGTAACTGTCGGTAGATAAATCGACTATCAGGAACAGATTCGACTTTGTAATGGTTTGCAATGGGGCATGCATTTCTCGTCTCGTTTCTCCACCGCCAACGTTGTTGTACATGCTTGAACACCAGACGCCCTGACACCATTTTGTGTCTGCGTGAAAAATTCATGGCCAATAATCCATAATAAGTGTCTACAGAAACTGGCGATTTTCACAGAAATCCGTCCCAGCATCTGAACACAAGTTTGACACGCTGACTGCGTTATTATTAAGCAATGCAGACACGCATACCTGACTCTGTCCAGTCGTCCATTTTGTGGACAGATTATCATGGGATCTTCATCAGATATGAAATGTTGACTGGAACATCAGATACAGCTCATATCCAGACCAATAAACACCTTACAAACCATCTGACAGCAGTTATCATATAACAATATAGTTTCCACTGATTTTTCCGACTTTCTGACTTATGTGATTTCCGATATCTATATAGATCTTAATGTGTATTGTTAGATGCACTGTGGAAAATCGGAAACACAATTTCGTTTCGCAGAAATAACAGAAATATAATTTTCTGTTCGTAATATCAGACAACGGACCCACACACCAGTACCAATGTCAAGATGTCTGCCTACTTTTGTGATGTATAGCTCTTCATGCTCACTAGTTCTCCGAAAAACCATTATGGGAACATGTAGTGTGATTTCGGCTTTTATTTTCAGTAAATTCACATCAATAAAATTGTCTGGATATCTATATTGGACCATATAAGGTATACATTGGCATTAAGCAAGAGCAAAATTGCTGACATAGCATTCTATGAAAACGATTGTATAGCTCCCTAAGTGCTTTACAATGGCTCTGAGTTCCTGACAATTAAATATATAGACGAGACCTTGTGAAACTGGCTCTACAGTACTTCAAGTTCTCACGAAATGGCAGCAAAAAAGGTCTTTCATAAAAGTTTTATTACTGAACATTTTGTCTTTAGAACATTTTTACCTAAATGAAAACTTCAAACATTTTGATGAGTTAGTTATAATTCTGAAAACGTTGTCTGCTCTCAAAGTTCTCACCTGAATGAAGACTAAACAAAGCAATTTGATTGGACGGTTTTATTGCTGAAGATGACTAAAGGGATCAATAAAGAAAATTGGATTTTGCTGCGGCTCACGATGCTGTTGAGAAGCACTATTAAAACTTTGAAAGGATCGGTACTTGTATTGATAACCAGCGTGTGCCTGTAGAAAAGATCCCGTAATAACATCTCGCAACAGCGCTTATTCAGAGTCCTTTGAGAAAGCTTTATTCAAAAAAAAAAATACAATTATTAAAGATTTTTTTTTTCAATTTTTTCGATCCTTGCTTCACCTGATGGTGAATGATGGAAGAGAGTTAGTCACGCGACTTCCCCCTTTTTAAAGGCTCTCTACAATAACGTTTGTCATGTGTTACGAATCACAGGGAGACCGACAGAACAAAGAGACAGCCCAAGTGTCGTCTGCTATGCTTGAATGTGCAATCTGGCAAAGCTGTCCCCGCTGAATTTTTTAACAGCAGATCACAATTTTTTTGCCAGTCAGCAATTATGCCAAATTGTAACTTCATTGTAAAGAGATGAATGATTTCCGCACCCTTTTTTTTCCACGACCGTAAAATTTGAATCCTGATTTAGGTTTGATGCTGATAGCATATTTTCGATCCAATATAAGAAGTTTATCCTGTTGTTTGGTTGTGACAACTTGTCTGGAGTACAATTTTGTTATAAATGTGACATATATTTCGGCTTTCATGATCGCCCTAATATCCACAGTAGCATTGAAATGTACATCTGAGGTTCGGAGAACTTAACTCAATATCTGTCGCTAGGGCTGTTTAATGCACAGCTTGACAACCGTTAAAACTGCTATGGCAACACACAGTTCTCCATATGTTTGGGATTCGTTTCATGTCTGAAGTTACTTATATATTGGCGCATTCTTAATGAAGCCAAAACAAATGCGGTATTAGACATATCAGCTTTATTACAAAAACAGATAGAGTTTATCAGATCTTGGAGGAAATCGACATGAAACTCACATGTCAGTTTTATACGTTTATATATAAAACATACTGGCTTTGTCCGATTTCTGTCTGGAATGTTTTTTCTTTCGTTTATATTTTTTTAACAAAAAAACAAAACGCCATGACAAGGCTTCACAACCAGATGTGAGAGGAAAAGATAAGCATCGTGAGCCCCACTAGAACATTTAGTCACATGACTGCACTCCAATGTTTGTGCAGTTTGATCTGAGGTCTGATGTGTAAAGGGTCAGATGCGACTTGTGGTTTCCTGTGATTGGCTTTGGCCTCTGCTCATGGGGAGAGGAAAGGACAGATAAAAAACATGTTTCTTGTCAGCCCGCCCCAAGTGGGGTCTATCTAGAGCACGCAGCGGGATCGCAAGAATTCACCGAAAATAAAGTTGGAGTTGAGGATAGTTAAATTTAACTCCATTGAGAATCGAAGAGGGCCTTACTTTTAACCCCGCAGTAGAGTGGGTCGTTGTAGGGTTCTCAGGGGAGAGAATATGGTAGCAAATTAAGCTACGCGAGCCAAGCGCCTCAGGAGACACAAAACCTGTAAAGGAATGTTGAGACTTTCCTTGGAAGGAAATTTCAACATATAGAAAAACCGCATTTCTGATATTACTTTGTGGTGTAGTTCAAAAATATATACACACAATTGTATGGAACACTGTTTGAAGTGC